TAATGTTTATGTGTGGCTATTGGGGAAGCTCCAATGAAGTTTGATTTGACTTTCAGCACAAATACATCAGCGTTTAAAAATGATACCGCCTGTTAAACATTAAATAATGTGCTGTGCCACACTAAGTTTATTCTAATAAAGCCTTTATATTTTGATGAATATATTATTCATATAAATCTCGTTACAAAACAATTAGTCATTTTTGCCTTCTCGAACAATTCTTTAAGTGAAGTTCAGACACATTTAAATCATTTATGTGATTTCGAAAGGATTATTATACGTGATTTGTAAACGTATATTGTTCCATAGTTGATATAAAATAAGTTCGATGTTCATGAAAATGCATTGAGCCCATTGTTACCTATAAAACGATATTTATACAGTAGTATATTTGTATCGACCAATAAGAATCCCAAGATCCAAGAAAAACACTGATACAGTATACGATAATGAACGCAAAGTTACGTAAACTTACATATAGTGTGAGAAACATGAATGCAATTGTCAACTTGCTCCTAATACACGGCAGAGTAGTTCCTATTGCTCTCACGGAAAATAATCTACCACACGTAAAATAAATAAATTCATATCAGATATTAATTATACTGTACGTCTCGTACGTTTGTTGCCATTACACAGCGTATACTTCCTTTAAGCAGGATAATTCTTATTCTGACACTCTTCGACCTTATACAATAGCACAATATGGAATACCGGTATCTTGTATTCTATTTGTATATTACTGAAAATAATCCGTCATTATTCGACATTGCAATCGGTGTTTAATTTTTATGTAGACGTCTTCTTATGAGAGCAGATACGATCGCACGGGATAAGCAGGTATATTGAATATTATGAAAATAGTATATTTTCTCGTTATAGCATTTGATTATCAAAACTGTTTGATTATACAAGTAAAAAACCCAAGGTCACAGATTAAGCTGACAACAATTGTTGTTGCTTGTTTATTTTTCGATATGAATATAATTTTCATTTCTATTTGCTAACTAGCTCTGTAGAATCATGGATCATCTAGTGCGCTACAACAACGGTTATACGGTATATGGATTTTGGAAAAATAATCAACATTGCAGAAAACTAGAGCATGATGAACTCAAGAAACTTTTAGAATTAAAATTAGACCATGTTAAATATCCTTTGTCTCGGGTTAATAGTTTTAAATTATACGCAGCACAAATTTTGGATGTAAGTCAATCAATTGTCCACGTCTAAATTATTATTGCTCTCCGACATGTGACAAAAAATTTTTTCCTGATTTACAAATAATAGATCAAAGAAAGAGATAAGCCCACTATTGAGATTGTTCCTAATTTGGAATGGGATGAGTATTACAGAGTATTTGGATCTTGGAACTGCAAAACCTGCAAAAAGAAATGGAGTAGTGCCTACACTTGGATATCTCTTCGTGAATTTATGTTTAAAACGTCGGCGAAAAACTTAAAAAATTACTACATGCAACAGTGCATTAATTGCAATGAAAAGAAAAAAGATAGTGATACGAGCGTTATCTATAAGTATGAACAAATGAAGTCATCAAATTCAAATAGCGGCAAACATCAAGACCACTTATGTGCAAAGTGCCAGAGCGGGCAGGAAAACAAATGTACATAAAGTAATAATCATAAATATCCGGAATTTTGATCTAACATGTAAAAAGTCATGCTACGTGTCATTATATAATACAATAGTATATAACTCAAGTTTTGAATTAAATTATCTTATTTGTATCAAAAAAAATTTTTTTATGACCGTTAATAAAAAATCAGCATAAATGTTGTCTTCATCAAAATTCTAAACACAACAAATGGTTGTAAGTGAGCTTTGGGAAGATAGTGTCCGAAAACCTGTAGAAATAATTTGTATAACTAGTTACCCGAAGTCCACAGTATATTATTTAATCAGTCGAATTAAAAAAGATCTTGCATTCATCACTTCCTATACCTGGAAGACTCCGATCCTCATATCTTTACATCTTCATCACATTGGCTGAATTGTACAGATCAATTAAGCTGCTACTGGAACTGAAATAGTTAAAAGACTTACTTATAAAAATCCTTACCTGAAAGTTTCTATTCGTACTATGCAATGTACATTAAAAAAAAAAGCCTTCAGTGTATCATTTGTTGTCTGCTTGCCATTCCTCTCCTTCATATTGTCACACAGTTCAAATGGACCCAAGCTCATGTCACCATGACTGGCAATACACCAATTTTCCGAGGAACAACCTTTCATATGTTTCGAAACAGTTAGTAAGATATTGTTGTGGGGAGTCACGATCACATTGAAGTATAAAAAACACCGTTATAGAGTTTATGCTTGGCTATAGTTTCGGCGCATGGTCAGATCCCATTAGTTTTGTTCAAAAAAACTTTAATTCTACTAAATATCAAGAAATTCTTGAAACTTGTTCTTTTTACAGCTTTCTATATTAAAGCATTATAGATTTTTATTTCAGTAAAACAATTTTTCTGTCTACAAATTTGCTAAAATCCACTGTTTTATCGAAGATCAAGGCATCCAAATTCACCACTGGCCTGCCTATTTGTTAGATCCAAATTCAATCAAGAATTTGTGGGTGGTACTTAAAGAAAAGGTAAAAAAAGAATCAAATTTATATCTAGCTAAAAAAAAATCTTTTTTGTAGATTATCTGTTAGGTATGGGACAATCTAGAAAACACTTTTTCACTTCCAATGCTAATGTGGCAAAAGGGCCTTTACATGATATACAGTGTGAGTCAAAATTATTGGAAAAAAATTTTTATTAATAAACTTTACAACTATCAAAGCAATTTAGACG